TTCAAGGGAAAGCAAGAGCTCCTTGAGGTATTCTTCAGATTTCCTTCCCTTTTATGCTTTAACCCCCCCCCCCCTTTAGATCTAGTTGATGCTTTTCTCAAGCCTTATGTTGATATGGAAGCCCTATTATGCTGAGATATCCTTAGATCTGTTCATTTAGGAGTTGTAGAGCCCATATCTATTGCCTTTATGGAGCTATTTTGCATCCTAACCCTAGATCTACCCCTTTCAAGTGTCTTTTAGCCTTTATCCCCTTTTTCATGTGTTTGTACACGTAAAGTTGGAAACTTTACGTGGTAAATCAACTTATTGGACTCAGATCTATCATTTGTATGTATTGGATTCGAGCAGAATCGAGAATAGAATAGTTGCATGGTGGTGACTCGACGAGTCGGAAGAACGACTCGGCGAGTCGAGTCGCGAGTCCCCGATTTCTTCCTTTTGAGCGGTGTCGAGTGGGACCAGTGAGTAGTGGAGTGGACTCAGCGAGTTTGAGGGTAGACTCAGTAATGGAGGGACTCGGCGAGTTGTTCATACAACTCGGCGAGTCCAAGGCAATCTTCTTAAGCTCAAGAACAACTCGTCGAGTTGTTCATATGACTCGGCGAGTCGGATGAAGATTGTCTGAGTTCTTGGATCGAGAGGGTACTCGTCGAGTCGATGCCATACTCGACGAGTAGCAGCGAGTAGGGTTGAGGAGTGAGAGTAGGGACTCGGCGAGTTGGCTGCCCAACTCGGCGAGTCAGGTCAAATGAGAGTTGACCTTGACCGAAAGTTGACTTTGATCGAAAGTTGACCTTGACCGAGAGTTGACTTTGACCAAGGGTAAAAGAGTTATTTTACCCAGTGCAGTGTTTAGTATTTGATTGAATGTGTTATGGACTTGTAACCGGGGAGATACTGGAGCAGCAGCAGTTAGCTTCCAGAGCCATACACTCAGCAGGCAGTTTATGAGGTGAGTTTCCTTTCAGTAGGAACGGGTCTACGGCCACAATGCCGGCCCGTTTAATTATCAGTAGTTCCGAACTTTGGTCTGATGCAGTAGTTAGAGTGCTTGATGTCTTTGTGATACAAGCATGTTTGTGTTATGTGTTCCGGACTCTGTACTGATGCAATATGCAGTATATGTGTTTATGATAGTTGTTATGTTTTATGCTATGCCATGATCAGTCAGTTCCGGACTTCGGTCCGATGCAGTCAGTTTCGGACTTCGGTCCGATGCAGTTAGTTCCGGACTCTGGTCCAATGCAGGGGACAAGGTCCCAGTCAGTTCCGGACTTCGGTCCGATGCAGCTAGTTCCAGACTTCGGTTTGATGCAGTGGGCAAGGCCCACTATGTGCTTTATATATGTATTGTATGGTATGTGGTAGTTTGGGGGAGCTCACTAAGCTTCGTGCTTACAATTTCAATTTTGGTTTCAGGTACTTCCGCAAGCAGAGGGAAGAGCTCGGGATGATGGCATCGCACCCACCATAGCTTCAGCTTTTATCCTGGGAGTTGATTTAGTTTGTAATTTTGATATGACATAGATATGATACAGTGTTTTTTTCCGCACAGTAATTTTATTATGTTTGGGATACATCACGTATGGTTTCTATAATATGACACTCAGATTATGGTTTTTGGTTATATTGAAAAATGAAATTTTTGGGTCGTATTTTTGGGTCGTTTCATAACACCTGTGTCCAAATTGGTTAAACTTAATTGTAGCAAGTACCTAAAATGGAGTTTTGAAGGAAACTCTATGCCATGGCGTAATAATGGTTAATTGGTCGCGTGTTATTTTTAGACCACCACGGCGTGGCCAAGGAAGGCCACGACTGGCAGCTGATTAGGGCCAATCCCATGAATTTTTTAGGGTTCCCTTCATATTTAAGCCCATCTAACTCGATCCTAGGGTTCATTTCTTGGCCTCTACCCCCTCAACCTCAGAAAAAACCCTAATGCTTTCCCACCTGATGGTTTTGGCTCATTTTGGGTGGTTTTGGTGCTTTTAAAGGGAAGTGAGGAAGAATTGGTGCAAGGATCAAGCAAGTAACACGTTACATATTGGTTATCACCTTCCAGACCATTTGTAAGGATCTAAGTCTCTACCTTTTGAGTTATTCTCTTAAATCTAAGTTTTTTTGGTTCATATAGTTGATTTGAGTGAACGGATGGAATAAAGTTGGAAAATTTATTACTCTTGTAACATCCTGATTCCCATGTATGAGATTTATTTCTTAAGCATGTTTTCCTATTGGAACATGGTATGGTGGATGCGTGTTTAAGGACTTTTCAACCGCGTACTTTTATGGGCCAACACGACGTGTTGGTGAGGGAAACTCGACGTGTTAGCGGCTGGATGGGAACCCCTAAATTTTAGGGTTTTACACCCTATTTAATATCCTAAAGTCCCTAGGGCTGATCTTTTATCAACCTCCAAACCCCCATATCGACCCTTGTGAACTCTAATCATCCTTCACTCTCGTTTGTGAGCTAGTGTGGTATTTTGGAGAAAAATAAGAAGAAAGTTAGAAGACGGAAGCAAGGATCTAGCAAGCAAAGCTCTCATCTTCAGTTTGGCACTCTTCTGAACCTTTTGTAAGTTTCCAATATCCAACTTTTATTCCATTATGTAGCTAGATCTTGAGTTTTGTCCAATTTTCTCCTTATTCTTGAATGTTTCAATGGATGGATCTCATAAAGTTTGCAACTTTATGAATCTCCAGGTCATGGTGACCTTGTAGTGGTTTGGATTTGGTCTTTAGCTAAGTTTGATGCCATGCATAGAGTTTAGGTCATATTTCCCCTTTTTGACCCATTTTGGGTTCAAGACATGCATTGGACATAATGTCTATAAAGCACAAACCTTTGTGATTTTGCCTGTTCATCTGCTAATGTATAAGCCTTTAAAGCGTATTTGTGCATTAGTAATTATACGTCTACAGATGGACTTTATCCATCTATAAACACTTGCGATTTCAACTTTTTTCAGAATATAAATTCATAATTTTTTTTTGGAACTCTCGTTTTTCTATGGGAAAACTCTCTCAAGCCTTTCAGAAGAAGTTATGGATGAGTATATTTAAAATATCCCGAAAAAAATAATTGTTAAACTGATAATTTTTTGCAAGACTTTATATATCTCTATACTAATAAAAGAGTAGTTCTTTTGCCATGTGTCATAATATTAGACCTCTTAATTAATGTGTTACCACTTGTCAATCTATTAGTTATTTATTTTAAATTTATTAGACATGATCATTAATGTGATGTTATTTGTCAATATATTTATTTTCTATTATAAATTTACATTTTATATTATTGTCATTAATTGACAAATAAAAAATGTCTAATATATATTAAAAATTAATTTTACATATTTATTTGAATCAACGATTATAATTTTATATAACTAATAAAAACATCTCTTAATTAATAATTTATTTAAAATAATTGATTAATAATTTTGAGTTTTTACTATAAAAGTTTAATTAATTTTATAACCGTGACTCCCACGGGTTATAAACTAGTGTGTGTATGTGTGTGTATATATATATATATATATATATATATATATATATATATATATATATATATATATATATATATATATATGTTGTTTCGTTGTCAAACCTATCATTTACGTAGTAAAAACTAAAAAAAAATTGTCATCGCAAAATTGCAGATGAAGTGAAAGTAAATCGTAGATGAACTCACTTCATCTACAAACGTGTGTGAAAGTGAGAGGTATTTATACCCGAAAAAACGGGAAAAAAATTTAACTGCTAACGTACAAGCCTACAATGCATGACCATGCTTTAAAATGTTGTACTTGTGCAGATGAATTGGTAAAATCACAGATGGTCTTAATCCATCTATGATTTTAATGGTTATTTTAATAATATTGGATTTTTTGACTATTTTTTGCAAAAAAATTATAAAAATAGCTAAATTTATAATTTTCTCGTAAAAAAAGGAAATCACCTCCATCTTTACACATGACACAACATAATGATGGTCAATCTATGTGGTAGTTGGTGCTTCTAATTTGTTTTATAATTAGCTAGGTGTGAAACCCGTGTATTACACGAGTTGATTTAAAAAAAATTAAACATTAAAGTGTAAACATAAATTTTTTTTAATGTATAACTTTAAAATAAAGAAGATACATATTTATTGCAATTTAATATCATATATATCATATTTAATATTTTACATATATAATTATATGATTTTAATTTTAAAAAATTGAAATAAACCAAAAATTAACAAGTGGATAATATTTATTTCAAAAATACCACAAAATGACAAGTGTCAAAATTAATGAGAGGTTGATATGTGGCAAAAAAACCTTCATTTATTAAGGAGGATTTTGCATAATTAGATTCAAATTTGCATAATTAGATTCAAATCCATAGTTTCTTGGTTCATATATGATATACCATTTTGCATAACACCAAGTATCTTACCCACAAGTCACAATTTGCTTATTCTTTGGTTGAAAAATGAAAATCGTGAATTCACTCGGAAATAGTTTCCGAACGCCCTTTTATCTTTCTAACATATTGTTTCTCTGTCTCTTTTTTTTAGTGAAATAGATCAAAGGTGAATCAATTATCCACTAGTTTGTGCCCAATTTAGTTGAAAACAGTTTGTGATGACAGAGACTTTTATCAATTCCACTTATGAAGCAATGATGATCAAGTTGAATTTCAATTTCCCAAAAGCTCTACAATGGTGGGATTCTTTAAGACTTCAACCATCTTGAATAGATTCTTGGCCCAAAAACATATGGTTCATAAAAGCGTGTAAAGCTCCCAATTCTACCTTCATTTACTATCTTTTTGACCAGGGTCCTAGAACACCCCATTATTTCACAATAAAACCCATCAAACAGCGTCTTATCCCTTATGACCCTTTTTCCATGTGCTCATGTATGCCACTTTCACCCATATCAAATTATCAAACATCCAATGTACGTATTATAAAGCACAATGTACTATTTGGTATAACAACACACACACACAAAAAAAAAAAAAAAAAAAAAAAATTAATGCTCCAAGCTTGTATATATAACGTATAATTACAGCAAACAATTATATGCCAATTTCTCTACGAATGCTATTAACATTCTAACATTTTTATCAGTCTCACTAGAAAATCTCCATGTGTATATCGTCGTCATCATCATCATCATAGAGTGTATTGATTAGAATCAGGGAAGTATTTAGACAGGAGAAAATGCTTCAGTTTTATCACAAGAACAAAAATTCCATAACATGGTATCTGCAACAATGCTACTAATAAATACCTGCATCAATATATATCAAAAATAGTTATTTAGAAAGTTTTTTCTTGATGAAAACACATGCACACACACAACACCTTCACTGTGTGTTCTTGTAAAAGAACGTACCATAATGGAGCAAATGAAGATGCAAGATCAAGAAAAGGGTAAGGCCACCTGTTTAAGATTAAAATCATGTCATTGGTTAGTGATTCCACTTTAAAAAGGTTAAATGAATTACTTCCATTGATTAGTTAAAGTATTATAGTATCCTATTTTTTTTTCCTAGCACAACATCGTTTTTTAAAAAATCTACAATATTTAACAATTTCATCAATATACAAAATATTTTTCATGGCTATAACCGGATAGATTTTACAAATTGTAATGTCTTAAGAAGAAAAAAAAAGTAGATTCTATAAAACACAAATAAATGAAAATTTAGAGAAATAGAAAGAGGGATATTTTACCAAAGTGCTATGCACGCATGAACAATCCACTGGAAAACAACAAAAACACAGGTCCAGAGGACAAAGTATGCAATTCGAAACCAAGGAAATCTCTGAAAAATAACAACTTTTTAGTCTCATAATACAAAAAAAAAAAAAAAAAAAATCTAAATTCTAATTTAATATCAAGAACCAGAAAATAAAAATAAAAATACTTACCAAGCTATTCAATGCAGTGTCACCAAGCAAAAACACGGCATTGATCGAGTGCATATTAATAATGAACTGCACCATATATTAAAAACATAAACCAAAAATATATATTTTTTCAATTCAAAAAAAAAAAAAACAAGAAGTCACACTTACAAAATTTAAATTATAATCTTTAATGGCAAGAAATGGGACTATGATAAACCAGAAAACGCAGTCAGTAAGCACAACTGCACCTGCTTGCATCTGAAAAAAAAAAAAAAAAAAAACGAAATATTATTATGGATTTTTCCTTTTTTGTGTAAAGTTTTTGTAGTTTTATTCGTATTCTTGGGATTTTAATCCTTTTTTAAATTTTACCTGAAACATGATCTGAAAAGTATACCCCCAAAAGCCGGCGACTTGGCGAGGCTGTCTTCGATTTTTAGCGCCTATGATTTTCCCAGATTGGGGCAAATTGGTAATTTCATCTCTTACAGCTTGCTCTTCGTCTAATTCCTCACTTCTGTCACCACCGACTTTGTTGTGGTATTGATAGCATCCGTAAATTGACAACATGGATCCAATCTGTTCATTTAGAAACATTAAGAACATAATGTGATAAACTGAATTAAAAAAATAGAAAAAGATAAAATAAAACAGCTTTAATAAAGAAAGAGAAAGAGAAAGAGTGTGTAAGAAGAATCGGATGACGTTGATGAAACATACCCCAAAATATATTGTTATCAATGTAAAAGTCCACCTGTAATTACCACCCAAAAAGAATCAAAGTGAAAATATTAGAATCGATATGTTAAAAACATATATTATAAATAAAATGTATAAAACTGAAGAATCGGAATAAAGCCATTCTGATATTTTACTTTCGAAAAGTTATCAGATCTTAAAAAAAATCAGGACACTAACAAACACCATAGGATTTAAAAAGAGTTGATAATTATGTCCTACTAATCAAAGTCAGGCCCCTAAGGTTGGTGCATATACAATCAGTCAAATGTCCATAATACCCTTTGGTTATAAATTATTTTGAAGCCAAATTACTAATTTTGTAATGTGACATGGGTAAATTTAAAATAAATTCTCTTGTGGCAAATTCAGTAATTTAGTAATTGTAACATGTGTAAGTCGCTCAATTTCGTCCATACTTGTTAAACAATGCATAAAGCCATAAACCACTAGTCAAATGTCTATAACACCCTTTGGATTTTTGGAGCAAAATCAATACTCTTGTAAATGCGACATGGGTAAATTGGTAAAATGAGGGTAATTCAAAGCATGTTATAAAGGAGAACTTGAAAGTTTGACTGGATGTAAGAAGAATTTAATAATACCCAACAAGATTCTTGAAAATAAAGTGGAAAAATCAAGAAAACTTACTGTGTGTAGTAGTAAAATATGCTGCCTCCATCAACAATGGCGTTTAAGATAATAAGAATCAAGAGCACAAAAAAAGCAAATATTCTGAAAGTCATCAACCAAGCTGGATGGATTCCTTTCAAACATGGCTTCCAAACTTCATCATCATACAACACCCCTCCATAATCATCATCATCATTATCTTCTTCATCTTCATCTTCATTTCTATTTCTTGATTTTCCATTCAAGGGTCCTTCATATTTTGTTATAAGATATGAAGACAAACACATTGCTGTTAAAACCCATACAACACATAGAAAAACCCTCCAATTTAACCAGTAATTTGAGGTGGTTGTATCAGCTCCCATCACTGGTTGCCACGTGTTCTTTGATCCTCCTGTCAAAAAATCCATTATGGTTTTCGATCACTTGTACACTCTTTTTGTTTCCAATTACAAACAATGTGACAAGAATGATTTTTTTTTACTAAAAGCGATTAAACTTAAACCCCAGAAAAAGAAAGGGAGATGGGTGTCGATTTTTTGTGGAATTTCATGTGATTAAAGTTTTGGGAAGTTGAAAACTTTAAGGAAGATGAAGTTCATGAAAGGAGGTGATATATAGGAATGAAGGGAGTCCAAGAAAGACAAAAACTGATGCATTTTCTGCAACATTAATGGCTGAAATGAAGTATAACATAAGATTCTAAACTTTAGGATTGAATTTGCACAAAAAGATATGGATTAAATATGAGAGAAATATTGAAAGAAGATGAAAAGATGTGAAGTTGTTAATTGCAAGCAAAGGAAAGATGAGGATACTTACAGGAGAAAGCAAGGAGGTGTCCAAGAAGAAGAAGAAGAAGAGATGCTTTGCTTCTTTGGTTTGGATATATTAATTATGTATTTATATCAATTTTAAAAGAAATTAAAAAAAAAATAATAAATAATAAGAAAAAGGGAGGGTGGTGATGTTGTGCTTGGAGTATAAGCTTCTGTTTTCTATGTGTTTTATATGGGAAGATTTTGGGGAAGAGAGAGCTCTGTTTTATGTGTAGTCTTATTATGTCGAAATTCTAATATAAATATAAAATATTCTTCTCCCATGCAATTATTTTATTCTTTTTTCATGGAGGAGTATTTGTCACCTGAGTTTTTCATGAAAATGAAGAGAGACTGTGGTGGGGCCATTATTAAAGTGCTTTTGAATGTGGATTTTGTGTTGGATTTTGCATTTTTGCTTATGCGTTGTACCCCATATCTTGATTTTGTAAAAACCAACTATTTTTTTAATGATATAAAACTTTTAGTGTTTGAGTTATATATAAAATTAATATTTGAGTTTATTGTATGTTTCAAATATTTTTTGAAGCTAAAAAAACATGAATGTATCCGAAAGTCAATAAGCCTAAGCTATTTCTATGTTTTAGGGAATAATATTAACTTAGAATCTTGTGAAAGAAGTTATAACTTTCCATGCTCATACAAGGAGAGAGTAGTGGACCCTTAAATTATCTTAACTTTCAAAAATATCAAGTATTTTCAATATGTAATATTTTTTAATGTGTAAATTTATTACAAAGATATATATAATGTTAAGGAAAAGGAAATGATGCATAAAATATGATTTTGTACAAAATTGTAATAATAAAAGCTAGCAAAGTGAAAATGAAGTGACTACAAGAAAGACAAAAGCTTGTATGATTCCTTATATATAGAAACTTTTTATAAATCTACGTGGAAGAGATATTGATGGCAAACTTAAAGACAAAAGTCATGTGATTATTTGATTGATCACAAACATAATCTATTTTAATCATTTACATGTAAGATTATATCATATTTCATCATTTGCATAAGACATAAATTAACAACTTTAACTTCCTATTTAAATTACTTTATGATGATTTGAGATTTTAACGGTTTATACTTTAATTATATGTTTTTTTTTTTTTTTTTTTTTTTTTTTTTTTTTTTTTTTTTAATTTTATAATATAAGTATATTTTAAGAAATTGGCAATATTCAGCTTTACTAAAATAACCTTCGATTACTAAAGATGTAAATCATAAACTTACCCAAAATTATATGTTTAAGAAAATCAGTAGGAAAATCATGCTCAAATATGGAATTATGTGAATATTTCATAAAGTACGTTCATATTACGAGGGTCCATAAGTTTTCTTTGGGAGAAATATTCCCATACCAATAAACACGCAAAGTATTCCCCTATCTACTCTCTTTTTTCAAAAATAGTACTTCTAAAACTTGGAAATAAAATAATAAATACGCTGATCTTAAAATATTAAATATGGATGGTTTTTTTTTACTTTAAAAAGATATACAGATTTTTTATCGTGTGATTTGTAACAATAATAATCTTAAAGAAGCAATTTAAAGTTTTAAAGTTTTAAAATTGTTAATGTTTAGATTTTACTATAAAAAGTAGATGCTTTTACTTGAGAGGATTATAACTTCTTTTTGCTTCCATAGACTAAATTTAGCTTTTGTTTATTTCATATTCTTTTATTCCACATTTTCTAATTTGTTTTCATTATTTTTATTATAAGTAACTGGAATCTGGAGCTCATAGTCACACACTCACATGTTAGTTTTATTGTTATCATTATTATATAATATAGATAATTTTCACATAATAAAATTTATTAAAATGTCGCAAATGATAGGAATGACTTATATTGTCTAATACACATATATCAAAAATATGAAAAATCATTATATGGCCCTAACGATTAACTTGTGAATTTTCATCTATCAAAAATATTTTATTACTTTATGTTATATAAACTCATTGCAAAAGTATAAAAAAAGTAATAAAATTATATAATAAAAATTGGTGATCTCATTAATAAGTCGATGAAAAAAGTTGTCTTTGGTATTGTGACAAAAATTTAACAGATAAGTTCTAATGTTGTAGATACTTTACATTTACAACAAATAATTAAATTATCAATATATTTTTATATTATTTTTTTTGGATCCATCATACGGTTAGCAACACTATTATTTAAAACATCGAGTCATGACTAATTGACTATAGATGTTTATCTGTAAAATAGGTTGTATGCGTAAATAGTTATATGATATGTAGTATTTTAAAAATCGGTTTTTTAGTTGAACCGATATGGTGATTGGTTTTTGCTTCAACCGGTTCGACCGTCGAGTCAACCCATTTCTATATTTTTCTATTTTTTACACATACATACATATATAAATCATGAATTTGATGTTTACAATTTCAAACATTAAAAACACATAACAATAAATTGAAGATGAATCCAAATATAATAAAGTAACACATAACTCATACATTTTAGTGTTTTACATCAATTCATATACGTTAAAAAGAAAATAAAGCATAATACTTAAAAAATTATTGTTTTAGATGAATACAAACACATCAAAAAACTTTATACTATTTACCATATGTTTTTATTTAAAGAAAAACTAAATAGATTTGAAAAAAAAAACATCAAAATTTATAATATAAATAGTTTTTTTTCACGTGTTTTTATTCGGTTTAACATGTTTATTTTGACCGGTTCAACTGATTTTTCTAAAAACTGGCCGGTTCAATCTGGTTCAGAAATCAACGTAAAATCGGTGATAGTTGAACCGTTTCATTCCCTGATTCTCGATCCAATCGTTTCGATCGACCTCGTTAAACCGATTTTTAAAACATTAATCATATATGTTAAGATTTCATTTTTTGAAGTTGAGTTTTCATAACTGAATATTAGTTTTTAAAAATAATAATTATAGGCAGATTATAATATAATTTATCAGTTAATTTGTAGTTTTTAATCTCAATGTATCATATGTTAAAAGATAAACTTTTAATACACATGATACAAGTTGTTAATGAATTAAACCTAACAAAATAAAACTTTTGTTGCATACAAAATGGATGACATATATTTGTATAACCGTATCTATTCATCACTTATATATATATATATATATATATATATATATATATATATATATATATATACACACTAGCAGTGTACCCGCGCAAAGCGACGAGGCGTGTAAATTCTTTTGGTGATATGTTTTCTCTACAAAAATGTTATTTTACAAAAGAAAGTACATGTCGAAGACAAAATAATCAAACTATGGTGTTATTTGGGAGATGAAGTCATTTTTTGTTCCTGGACGGTGGGCTTTATAGCAGAGGAGGGAACAAAGAGGTATATGCGATTGGAGGGATATTTGAATCAACATGCTAAATTTAAGGATATCTAAAAGGGTTCAAAATTTGAATGAATCCGAGATTTGAGGGAACCATATCAAATTGTTGAGAAATATAAGGAGATTTGATGATAAATATTTGAATTCAAAATGTGGTTAAAATTTAATATTATTTTATTAATGGTTACTTGTACTATCAACTTCATCATTTGGACGTCTTAAAAAAATAATATTATTATAATCAATCTATTTTTAGAAATAGTTAGATTTCTTTTATAAGATAGTAAATATATATATATATATATATATATATATATATATATATATATATATATATATAAGCGTATGTACATATTTTCGAGCTTTTTTATATTGTCATGTTTTACAAACTAAGTAGTAGGTTCTAAGTTAGTTTTTTTTAAAGATACTTAAACTAGTTTTTTATGACTTTTTTTTTCCAAATATAACCTTAATTAACTATAAAAAAAACATATTTTCTAAATACTTTTTTATGTCATTTTATATATTCTAAATAGCTTATCAGCTAGGTTTACCAAACATAATTTTTTATCGACTTACTAACTAACAACTAGCTTTTCAGTAAGTAATACAAACATATAAAACATATAATAGACTTAAACTTAAGGGTGACAAAAGTCGACACGATACGAAACGAAATTAGGACATAATTAAATTTCGAATTCATGTTCGTGATGTGTATGAGAAAATGACGTCGTACCCTGTCGTGTTCGTGTATATTCAGTAGCCTTCTATGTTAATTTTCTTTTATCGTACTACTCATGTTTAAATTATTTTTTACAAGAATTTACGTATGACATTATACAAATGATTATTTTATTTTTATTTTTTGTTGTGTTATTGTGTTTTTATTAAGTCGTGTTTGTGTTATCAAAAAAAAAAAAACGCTATTGCGTTGTATTAGACAAGAATACCAAACTAACAATTCAATTTGACACCTTTACTAAAAATGCAACATGCGTTACAAAAAAAGTTTCAAACTGTATATCATATCTTATCATGTAAAAATCCAAAACATATACAGAATAAAAAACATCCTTACAGTCACATACAAACAATAAAAAACATATAATCTTATTTTATAAGATACATATCTTTATATATTTCCCCAAACATAGAGAAACTTATAGATATTAATCTCAATGAAAATAAATTTTAAAAACATGTGTCATGTTCCAGCAACATGGTGTGTGGGGACACATGAATTCAGTTAATCATCTTATTTGCATGCAATTTAGAAAGCACATAAAGCATGAAGATGCCAACATAAGTCTTAAAAGCGTGAGGACTTCCTTCCTATCGGTGGTTCACTTGTTGATTTCTCGTTTTCACTCACGAATAAAACTAATTCACTCAAAATTCATGAATGATTATCGGCAATTACAGTTTTCTGATACATAATATTACTAAATAGCCATGTACCAAAGATTTTAAACTGCAATTATAGTACTTCATGATTCATATTGGGAAAAACTAAAGAAACTAAAACGCATATCCATATATATATATATATCATGTCAACTAAATTGCATATGATCAATGGTGTAGGTAGGTACCTTTGAGCTTCGTAGATGGTGATATGAATGCAGGTAACCGGATGGAAGGCATTGTGATTGAAGGTATACGAATACAGTAAAGCTCTGCAAATAGGATGGCTAAATAATGAGAGTTAGCATTCACATTTTTAAAGAGGCTAGAGTCTGTTAATTACCCAGTTAGAGTAAACATTCTATAGCCAAACTTTTGTTAGCAAGAGGGTTGTTTGTGTTATATAAGAGGAGTAAAGCTTGAGCAAAACTAAAAAACGAAGATGATGAATTCTCAAAAGTAGTGTAAATGGAAACACTACACATGGAATAAATGGTAAATATGTCAATCAAGTTTACATTGTAAGAAGGACAAATAGGTTGGCAATCAGTTCATATATTTTGTGCAGTGTACCAGACGAGCTAGTTAAGCAAATGTTTAACGTAAAATAGTAAAAGATTTAACTAATTAATAATATCAATAAATATATACCATGTTATAGAACTAAAAACTAAAAAAAAAAACTTGGATAATAAGTAACATTGATAGCCGAATTAGTCATGGATGCAAAAGTTTATTATGAATTAGAAGGAGTGTATGGTATCCTAAGTCTTCTAAAAATATTTCGTAGTACGAACGATGTTCTGTATCTCATTATTATAAGAGTATGTTTCTTAGGACAGGGATACAATAGAGTATGTTTCTTTATGTGTTAGCGTGTCA